GCTGGGAGATGGATGAGTTGGAAAGTGTTTACTGGACCAACATGAGGACCTGAGTTTATACCTTAGCACCCACCTGATAGCCATGTGGACATGACAGAAGGCATCTGCCACCCAGTACTGGTGGAGTGGAGACATGAAGATCCTGGGGGCAGGCTGGCCTGCCAGGCTAGCTGACACAGTGAGCTCCAGTTCACTGACAGTGACTCCAAAGATAATGGAGAGCATTAGAAGACAGTCAACCCTGACCTCCTGTCTCTGCACACACATACACACACACACACACACACACACACACACGACCACACTCAGTTGCATACACACTCATACACTATACACACACACACAAAAACAAACCAAAACCAAAAATAGCCACTCATAAGGACCAGAACCCAGCTGTCAGTTGTTTATAAGAAATACAAAGCCCAACCGAAGACACCCCAAAACTGATCGACGAGTGGGGCTCAAGCTATCAAGCGTGCAGACTCTTTGCAGCTCCAGCGTAGCTGGTCTCACAGCAGGTAAGAGGGATGCAAGCCCAGCTCACTAGGAGGACTAGAGGGGGCAGGCAGCGACTCTTCAGGCAGATGGAAGAAGCATACACGTTAATGTGCCAAATGTTAGGTCCCTCGTTGTCATAAAAACAAACACTAAAGGCACGGAAGAATAGGTAGGTACCAATCCAGTAATAGTGAGAAACTTCAACACCTGGCTTTTGTCTTTAGACCGAGCGTCTAAACTAAAAATAAATTCCAGACTTAAATCATACACAAATTGATTGCATTTGATAGATATCTAAAGAATATCCTACCCAACCCCAGTAGGGAATGCACTCTCTTCTTGGTGACCAAAACGAACCACATTGGAGACCACAAAGTAAGCCATTTTCAAATAAAAACACAAATGGCCAATAAATGTTTTAAAATGTGTTCAGCCTCTTAGTCATTAGGTAAGTCCAATTAAAACTGTCCTGGGGTTCCATGGAACACTAATCAGAATAGCAAGCATCAAGGAAGCAAACGATCAGAAATGCTGGCAGGAATATGGGCAAGGAGGAGCTCCAGTGAGGCCCAGGGGAGGTTGAAGGGGAGCAGCCTAGGGGAGAGTGAAGTCAGGGAGAGTGAAGGGGAGCAGCCACACTAGAAGGCAGCAGAGAGGATCCTCAAAATCCCACAGTAGAACCAAACATGATCCAGGAATCTCTTCTTCTTTTCTTCTTTTTTTTTAATCAATTTTTTCATTTATTTTACATACCAACCACAGTTTTCCTCTCTCCTCTCTTCTCATTCCCTCCCCCACCTCCCATCTAACCCATCCCTCACCCATTCCTCCTCCGTTCAGAAAGGCGCAGGCCTCCCCTGGGAGTCAACAAAGCATGTCATATTACCTTTAGGCAGGACCAAGCTCCTCCCGCTGCATCAAGACAGGGCAAGACGTCCCAGCGTGGGGAATAGGTTCCAAAAAACCAGGTAGAACACCAGGGAGAGGTCCTGATCCCACTACTAGGGACCCCATAAACAGACAAGCTACATAACTGTCACCCACATGCAGAGGCCTCATTTGGTCCTGCGCAGGCTCCCTAGCTGGCCATGGAGCTCCCACCAGCTCAGGTCAGCTGTCTCTGCGCGTCACGATCTTGACCAGCCTTGCTTGTACAGTTTCTCCTCCCTCTCCTCAGCTGGACTCCCAGAGCTCCCCACGTTGAAATAACTATTGGTCCACTCATAACCACAGGTTCCATCCTGCAGTCTCATGCTCTCAACAGTCAGGAGCTTGAGACAGGCAGGGAAGGTTGGCTTTGTTGCTAGGAGGAGCTGGAGTTGAGGGTTCCGCAGCTTCAGCCATTCTGCATAGTTTACTGAATGCCATTGTTCTTAGGTGGGAAAACAGACACACAGTTAGGAAGGGGCCAGGAAATGGCAAGGTTCAGTGTCCTCAGTTTCTGTTGCGTGACATTTGAGGCACCCAGATGACTTAGAAGATACAAGTAAATACTCCCATTTGGAAGAGGAAATGAAGTTACTTGAAAAGCACATGGGTTTAAGAACACTGATTTGTGCCAGGTATTGGTGGCACACGTCTTTAATCTCAGCACTTGGGAGGCAGAGGCAGGTGGATCTCTGAGTTCGAGGCCAGCCTGGTCTACAGAGTGCGTTCCAGGACAACCAGGGTTACACAGAGAAACCCTGTCGTGAAAAACAAACAAACAAACAAAACATCTATTCACAAAATATACTCAACTGAAAAAATTATAACACACACAACGCACCGTCGAGGGCAGAAGGTGCAGTTACACACACAACGCACCGTCGAGGGCAGAAGGTGCAGTTTACAGTAGCACATGCAAGTCATCCCCTCATATGTCTGTGCACTGGTACACATAACTAAAAAATCTCAATATAAAACAAAATTGAAAATACTACAAAACCACAATTTTTAAAAAATAAAATGTGACAATAAGGCTCCTTTTGAAAATAATTCCTAAATGTTTCCATTCTGAGTCGAGGCTGGCGGCGCTCCTGTAGGCCAAGTCTTTGCATGTGCGCAGGAAGGTTACTTGAGCCAAATGGATTTTTTGCTTTTAAAGATTTAAAATGTTTAAATTTTATGTGAATGAGTGTTTTTGCCTGCCTGTGTGTACACACAGCATGTATGTCTGCTCCAGTAGAGGGCAGAGGAGGGCACCAGTTCGCCGCATGTCTCTTGTCTCTAAACCGTTGCACAGTCTCTCCAGGCCTGAGCCAGACAGACTAAGGAAAACATGGGCAACGTATTGAGAGGCCACCTTAAGATCATTTAAAACATAAGCGTGGCAGTAAATCACCTTCCCCAGTGCTCAGTGTGATAACACAAGGCCAACACAAAACCCATTTTTAAATCACCCTGAGGCTCCTTTGCTGAACCAGCCTCCTGATGGATCACAGCTCCTACTTGGACCACATGCAAATGTGGTTTAAAACTGGTCAAACTATCGAATAAACGGCATATATTTGCCACTGTTAAGACTGCAGATATGAGTCTTCACGTACTTAGCAAATCCTTAGCAATCTGAACCCAGCAGCCATACTAGGAGTGAATAATGTGGCAAACGTAGTACTGGGCTGACAGACTCCAAAAGAAAAGCATGTCATGAACGCAACTGACCTACGGATTTATATATTGCTAATAATAATTATTTTTCTTTCTTTTCTCTGCTTTTGTTTTTTGGGACAGGATTTCTCTGTGTAGCCCTGACCGTCCTGGAACTCACTCTGTAGACCAGGCTGGCTTCAAATTCAGAGAGATCTGCCTTTCTGTGCCTTCCAAATGCTGGGATTAAAGGCATGCATCACCACTGCCTGGCAACAATAGTTTTTCTTAAACTAAAACCACTTTTGTAAATACTGCAATGATAAAGGGTTCATTTTATTACTATGAAATGAGAAATGGAGTTAGGGGACCAAAACTGTCTACTCCAGAATATAAACAGAATCATTTCTAATAGAAAGACTAGTTGGGAGAAAAGTATTGTTTCAGCTTTTTCTTTTTTAAAAAAATATGTACTTATTTATTATGTCTATAGTGTTCTGTCTGTATGTCTGCCTGCCAGAAGAGGGCACCAAATCTCATTACAGATGGTTATGAACCACCATGTGGGTGCTGGGAAATGAACTCAGGCCCTCTGGGCCTCTGAGCCATCTCTCTAGTCCCTTGCCTCAACTTTTAATCAAGCAAAGTTATTGGTACTTTGGATGCTAGACCGCAATGTATATAGGAAAGCACATTTACTGAAGAAGACAAGAGCTGAGATGTCTAAGAACCACTCACTCTTAAAGCCCCAATCTAAAGTCAGAGTTGGAAGACTCCGAGGAGCCAGCAAATCTCTGCTATTTATTGCCCTCCTCTAAGCTGTTCCCTTTTCCTTTATGACAGAGCTCCTTAAAGGAAGTCACCCCAGAGTACCCCTTAGACATCAATGAGGATAATGAATTTAAGGTACACTTAAAATATTCAATACAGTTAGTTGTTAGTTATCTTCCTGGTTTTCCTTCATATTGAAATATATTAAGATGTTATTTATGTGTGAAACTTTATTCTAGGAACTAAGTGTGACCCACGTCAGGTTGGTTTCTTGCCCTCCTCTAGCTCTTAATGTGCAGACTTCAGATGAAGATGTGAGTAAGCAGAAGCCTTCTGAAATGTAAAGCCTTAGAGCGTGAAACTGAGAACATGAGATGATGCTGAAAACTAAGCACAAATATTCAGAAATTATATTTTTCCTCAATAGTTGAATCTCTACTTGTACAGTCTGTAGCTATTTGGGCAAAAAAAAAATGTATTATCCAGTTCTACAGACTTTTTATTGTTTTGTTGAAAATAGATTCCTCTCTTATACAATATATCCTTACCAGTTTCCCTCCCTTCAGTCCTCCCAGCCTCCAGCCTCCCACTCCCCCAGACCTGCTCCCCCTCCTTTTCCTTTCAGGAAAGAGCAGGCCTCCAAGAGACAACAACCAAACATGAGAAAACAAAATACAAAACGACAAGGCAGAAGTCCTCACACTGAGGCTGTGCAGGCCACCCAGGAAAAGGAAAAGAGTCCCAAGAGCAGGCAAAAGAGTCAGAGACACCCAGCTCCCACTAACACAGAAACACTCCACTAATAGTAACAACATATGCAGAGGTACTGGTGCAGACCCTTCAGGCCCTGTGTGTGCGTACACTTAATTAAATCGATAAGAAAAATACAGGAAAATTGCAAGTATAAATTTTGATGGGTTGTAATGGTATAATTTTTCATAATTTCTTATGTTATTTCATGTAGAAACAAGGGCTGAAACCAAAAACACATTCTATCAAAAACAATATGAAATGAATCCAAAGTTTGGGAGGAGAAAGAAACTATGCCCAAGGATGGTTCTAAAACCAAAGCAATCAATCAAATGTCTGATACATTTTCAGTTTCCTTACAACTTTGAAACACAAACATAATGAAAGTCACACCAGTAAACTCTTCATTTTAAAAGCCATTTTACATTTGTTTTATTTTATGTGTATGAGTGTCCTGCCTGCATGTATGTATGTGCACCCATGCGTGCATGGTGACTGTGAAGGTCAGAAGAATCTTCAGAGTCCGTGGTATTGTAGTTACAGATGGATGAGAGCCACCGTGTGGGTGCTGAGAACCGAATCTGGGTCCCTCTGCAAGAGCAACAAGTGCTCTTAACCACTGAGCCATCTCTGTAGCCCCCAGTAAAATAAATGAAACAACAAAAATATATTTATCCTAAAGTTCATAGCTCAGATTTCAGATTTGCTTTACCATGAAAACTGTACCTCATAAATTCTTTCCACTACGTGTTTTCATACCTGAACCTAAGCCCACTACTTCAGAGTATTTACTAACTCTGGCATTTCTCAAAGTAAAATAAAAAACCAAACCCCAAAAACCCAACTGGTCATAACTACATAAAGGTTTTTCTCTGGTCAACTTTTGAGATGCAATGATAGTAGACCATTGCTGAGTTTAAGAATAAATGATAAAAAAAAAATCCAAATTCAGAAAGGGAAAATTAATCTCACAAAGGGGCATTTTACCTTGGATCTGATGCTGTTTCCATCTTCTTCTGTTGTGGGCTTGGAAGTTCTAGGTGTGTGGGCGAGGCTGAAGAACAAAAATGGACAAGAAGGGGACTTTTCGGTTATCAGTTACCTGTATACTAGATACCATTTCTTTAAGAGATATTTAAAGTTGATCTCTGTTTAAAAAAAAAGTGAACAAGTGATTGTTTGCCTTCCTCCTTCAGCTCTCTACTTTTTATGGAGACTTATTCATATATCCATGACAAAGAATGGTAGACCTTATATTGGCAGAGCCCCAAAATGATTTGTCTTCACAAATTTCTTCTCTTGAAGGCTGAAATGAAAACCCAGCTATTGGAATACCTATATTTTTGCTGCCTAGGTTGTAAAAAAAAAAATACAAAACAAGGCTCAAATATATAGTGTTCCTTCTTCGCTGTCTCCCCCTGTTTAATGACTGTAAATCATTAATGTTTAATGACTGAGCATCTTGGGTCTTCATGGTTGAAACCACAGACTAGAAGATGCCAAATGTTTCACATCACCTTAAAATAGCACAGAGTCTCCCAGACAGAACTTCTGAAACAGCAGAAAGACGATGGACAATAAAGAACATATGTCTACACCATTACTGACCATATTCTCTTCAGAAAAAAATAAAATATTAAAAATTATAAAAACCAATTATTTTTCTACAGATGCACTTCATTTCAGCTCTTCACAAACCAGCAAACAATAAAAATCCCTCTTGGGCACATCCGCACTAGAGGGGGAGTGGGGGGAAAGCGGAGCCATGAGGGGGCGAGGGGGGGAGCTTCCAATTTCCCAGGAATAGCTTCCCTCCTAAGTACTCACTCTCTAAGGCCCTCCTTCTTCAGAGCTCAGACATATTCTCTGCGTCAATGTGTGACGATAAAAATATCCCTTACCCTCGGAAAGACTGGGACTTCTGCTGGACCTCATAGCCAGAGTTGTTAATACGCCCTGAGGTCATGTGAGCACTAAGACTGCTGTCCTACTGTGTACTCAGCCTTTGTTTAACCTGCTTTAAAAAGAACCATGGGCTGGAGAGATGGCTCAGAGGTTAAGAGCACTGGCTGCTTTTCCAGAGGACCTGGGTTCCATTCCCAGCAACCATATGGTGGTTAACAACAGTCTGTAACTCCAGTTCCAGGAGATCTGATACCCTCCTCTAGCCTCCACGAGAATTAGGCACACACAGACATACATACAGACAAATCATCCACGCACATAAAATAACAAGTAACCCCCCCCGCAAAAAATAGAACCATATGACAATATCCCTCACTTGGCTTGGATTTCCCATATTAGAAACTTTTACAACCTACACTAAAGCATGGCTATAACCTTAAATTATATACGACTCCATGCCTCTGTACACTAGCTCCCATGGTGTAATGGTTAGTGCTCTGGACTCTGAATCCAGCGATCTGAGTTCGTGTCTCAGTGAAACTGGCTCCTTGAGGGAAAAGACCTGGTCAGTCATCCTCATCAGCTCAGACCATGAACCCCAATATCAATGTGCTGCCCATGCAGGCTTCAGCATTGCCGGGGGCATGTTTCCTTCCTTTCCATGCCGCTGGCCCAGGTAATGCATGTGCATTATTTGCTGAAAGCAGCAAATACGAGGTTGAAAGCAATCTTCGAAAGTGAATATTTAGCACAAACCTTAAACAGGGCATTTGGATATTGGTTGGGAAATGTTTGTGTACTGATTGTTGTCTGGGTCAGTCAGTCAATGACTTAATCCCTTGTAAACCCTGTTAAAGATTTTTGTATCTCATTCTTTCCTCATGTGATGCTTTCTGTGTTCTTCAATAAAGACAAAAAAAATAGTTTTGACACACACACAGGGGCATGAAGCAGAGAACTCGAATATGGGCCATTCTTGGTTAAATGTCTCCAAAGGGAAGTGTTTCCTGTCCTTCCTCAAGGGGACACCAGCGCATTATCCGTGGCCTGCTGTCAATCACCAATGCATTTATCCACAGGTTCTCCGACTTTACACCTCAGTCCTGTGAAAACACAGGCTCCTGAGGAAAGGACCGACTGAAGCGATTGAGATGACAGGCCTTATTTCCTGAGTTTGGCAAGCACTTTGGGATCTCAGCACCCGGCCACAGATTAACCCGACACGACGTCTCTTGGCCATTGATTCAATCTGTGTTTTCATAGGTGATCATATATAAATTAACAATGAAGTAGGTGAAAGAAAGATGCTACCTGGTACAGACTCATTGCCTACCTGAAATTACTTTAGCATCATTTAACAGAAATCTGGAGTTTTGTCAGTTTCTACGGTCTAATAAAAAAAACCTTTCCCTAGAACTCCTGCATTCGTTATTTGTATATGCTCTCCTAGATTCTCCAACATTCTGTGTCAAGGATTTTCACATTATCACCACCCATAACCTGTTCCTCACCAACCCCATTCTGTTAACACTGTTGGGATAGCCCAGAGGGAGCTCTTTGTTTCTTTCTGTCTTTACCCTCTTCACTGGGATGCTCTATGTCCATCTGCCATCTTATTGAGATACTCATCACGGATGAGGGGAGCTCCTGGCCATAGACTTAAGGGCCATGTGTCTCATTGCTGCCTCTTAGTATATCCAAAGAAGTCATTTCAGAATCTTTCAGTTTCAGGTTCTCCAACACAGCAGCCATGTGAAGAAGATTCTAAACCTAGGTTCAAGTAACTGTGGGCAGCTTGATTAGTCTCCGGCAACCCCTAAAGTTATAAAACTTTGCAGGCAAAGGAATTACTTAGCAGCCAGATATAAAAAAAAAACAACAAAAGAGAAGCCAAAAGAAATAGCCACTCATAAAGGTAGTATATTCACTGGAAAAGAAAATCGACTGGAAAAAAGTGGTAGAGGAACTAACCTGATATGGCAGTTCATAAGTAAGTAGAAAAGTCAATGAAAATATCTTCCAAAGAGATTATGAATATTACTTATAGAACATGCAAATATTCTTCACTTCTAATAGAATAATTATGTATCAAAACCATGTACTCAATGTGAGTACACATCATTGAGCGCTCTGCTACAAGCAAGGCAAGCTTCCCAATACAGCGTTCCATTAAATTACTGAATTATGATGAAGCATGGAAGAAAAACTCAACATTGTGTCAAAATTTGATGTTTTGAACTGGTGTGATATAGACCTACATTTTTGCCCTTTCTATCTATGCAGAGGTGAACGAAACCACATCATATAGCTAGACAGGCAATCAAATCATAGGTCAGGCACATAACAATGGCAAGATTATGAGCCAGTTAAACTGCCCTTCAAATGGGAGTAGCCAATTATTGGGAGTAGTAGTGGTTTTATTTGTTCATTTGTTTATTTGTCTTGGAGACATTGTTTTCCCGTGGAGCCCTGACTGTGCTGAAACTCACTCTATAGACCAGGCTGGCCTTGAACTCATGGAGATCCACTTGCCTCTGCCTCCAGAGCACTGGGACTAAAGGCGTGCACCACCACTGTCCAGCATGAGCAGTATGTTATAACTGGACACTTTGCATACAATCTGTGATTTCTATGAGATGGCAAGTGGTATGTACATCATATTGCATTTAGCCAAGAGAATACGCAACAAATATTAGTTTCTTTTCTCTGCATCCACTAAAGACTGCCTTAAACAGTTAAATTAGTTGCATCTTACCTTGCTTTAGAGTAGCATGCAGAACATTTATCTGCTTCTGGAGATAAAGGAAAACTGTATTTTAACTCAACAAAATGGATAGAAAGAAGAAAATGGGGAAGTACAATCATTACATTATATGACTGGGGCATCTTCTGGAGCATGATTCTCCTTAGAACCATTGTTGGCTGAGAGTTCCAACAGGAAGATCAGTTAGACCAGTGGCTGGAGGGTAATGCATTGGAGTTCTTAATTTTACTTTTTTTTTCTTTTCTTTTTTGAGACAGGATTTCTCTATGCAGCCCCGGCTGTCCTGGAACTCACTTTGCAGACCAGGCTGGTCCTGAACTCACAGAGATCCTCCTACCTCTGTCTCTGCCTCCCAAGTGCTCGAATTAAAGACATGTGTCACTACCTCTCAACCTTAATTTAACTTCTCACATATTTCAAATGAAAACTGGAAGAAAGGAATGTCTCTAAATGTAATTCATAAAAGTAAGCACCTCTGCCCAACCCCACAATCACAGATGAGCCCTGACAGACTGACAGCAAACTGGGCAGCCTAAAAAAGCAGAAACTGGCTGTGTCAAATGGCTCTGTGGTCTTCCAGACCGAGACTCTGGGGACAATTCTGTTCTTAACTTGTTATTACAAAACACGGCCTCTCTAGCTTTTCGTTCAGAACCGTGCTGTGTAAGATGGAGAGTAGTGCCACAAGCAAGGCCAGTCTGCGGGCACTGGGTAGCAGGGCAGGGGACAGGCTCTCTCTGGAGTCTTTCTCTCTATGTGGCTGTCCGGAAAGATGCTAACAGCCTCCGATGGAAAGATCTCACGGGAAGAACAATCCTTTATATTTGTATCCACTCTTAACCATAAGCAATAGACAGATGCCTAGAAGGGCACGGCAGAGACTCAAGAATGTTGGCAAATAATGGGGAAATTGTGGAAATAAAACTACTGGAGCAAGAGGGTGGCTCAGCAGTTGAGAGCCCTGAGTCTCCTCCAGAGGACCTGGTGCCAGTTTCCAGAACCCACATGGCAGTTTAGAATCATTTGTAATTCCAGTTCCAGGGACTCTGGCGCCCTCTTCTGGCCTCTGGGGGCACAGGGTATGCACAGGGTACACAGGCATCTATGCAGGCAAGGCACCCATAAACATTAATTTAAATTAAGATAAAATTTAAAAAGCTATTATCTCGCTTAAACTTCTAGAATATAGAAGTAATAGCATGACGGTGGCTTTTAATTGCCAACTTGACACAACTGATGAGGTACCTCAGGGAGGAACTGTCTAGATTAGGTTGTCCTGTGGCAACACCTGTGGGGATTATCTCTGCTTTGTTACCTGATGTGGGAGACCCTACCACTGTGGGTAGCACTATTCCCTGTGCTACAAATCCTGAACTCTGCGGCAGTGGACGAAGGAGCGCAACACAAGTGTACACGCATCTGCTGCTCTCTTCTGACCACAGACTTGATGTGACCAGTTAGCTCAAGCTCTGGCTGCTGCCGGCTCTAAGAAGGACTCGGAAGCCAAAATAAAGCCCTTCTCCTCTAGTTTGCTCTTGTCATGGTATTTTTAATCCCAGCAACAGGAAATGAAACTAAGTCATATGGAATCTCTTAATCAGAGAACTCCCCCCTTCCCACTTTACTTAAGGAAAACAAATAATTGGGCTTTTTATTAGTGTTTCCCCAGAACAGAAAATCTACTATAAAAGAAAGGTCAACGATTCAGATCAACAATAGAGTAACACACACACACACACACACACACACACACACACACACACACACACAAATATAGACTCAATTTGTACAGTGATTTTGTAAACATTGCTTTTGGGATCAGTCTCTCCTACTTCTACCTTATTTTCTCACGGACAGGTGGGGCTGAGCTAGCCCGCTGTCGGGAACTTACTTGAACTGCAGTCTTCACAAGGCTCAAGCTCCTCCTCTTGGTTTTCTAAAGTAACTTGGCTTTTGTCATGTGTGATAAAAGAAGAAGAAACAAAGTCAATATTTTAGTGGTTATATGAAGAAAATTAAACAAGGATGTTAAAGCATTGAAGGCTTATTTTCTAAACGATGAGAGTGAATATTACGAGGCTCAGCACCAAAAGTTCCTAAGTTTCCAAACGAAGAAGATGCGAAAATGTAAATGAATCAGAGGTAATACAGCTCAGACCAGAAACCGGATGAGCCTGACATCACAGAGAGCGCCAAGGCTGCTTTCCTAACAGACGAGTTTCTTTGCTTATGCTCAGATTCTCATAAAAATAAAAACTTAACACTGGCCAGTGGTGGTGGCACATCCTTTAATCCCAGCACTCCAGAGACAGAGGCAAGAGGATCTCTGTGAGTTCGAGGACAGCCTGGTCTACAGAGCGAATTCCAGGACAGGTTCCAAAGCTACAGAGGGAAACCCTGTCTCAAACAACAACAACAACAACAACAGAGAATTTAATTGACTTATTTTACCAAAGAATTTCTAAGACGTGAGACCCTAAACAGGGCAAACAGAGAAGACAGTAGCAGTCATTTTGTTCGCCGAGGTCGAACTACTTTAGAGTCCCGGAGATTGTTGTCACGGGTTCAAACAACGAAGGGCTGCACTTCCCAGAAATAATGTCTTAAATTAGATTACTGCCTGTTTCATTTTTGTGACAGGCAATTAAGAGGAGATAAAATAACCATTTGTAACCATAAAGTCTCATTACCTTAACACAACTGTCAGTAATTAGAGTGCTAATGAATCACAGCCACGCATGGAAAACCAGTGACTGCCAAGGCTGGGCTCAGAGGGACGACCACAGTTCCTTCACACTTAACCACATCGCCTGTCCAGTTAGCTGGCTGTTCATTCTAAGAGTCTCTCACTCTGTAGCCCTGGCTTGGAACTCACAGAGGTCCGCCTGCCTTTGCCTTCTAAGGGCTGGGGTTAAAGAAGCGTACTGCCATGCCAGGCCTCTAACCGAGTTCCTGACACACACAGCATGTCACCTCAGAACGACGTTTCATCTCCACAACAATCAGGCAAGTGTCCTGGGAGAGGCTCATTGCCACGGACAGCACATCATTTGAGGGACCAAATTTGGCAGCTGCCTTGGAAAACGGCACAATGGGGCCTTTCCAACACCTGAGATTGAAGGGTGTTGTTTCAAAGAAGACCGGAGGCTCTTCCTGCAGCCTTATCTGACCTCTCAGGTCTATAAAGAAAAGGCAAAGGATCAATTAAAGGCTGTCGCCATGGATGCATAGGCCCACGTGGACTCCATATGACATTTGGGGTATGGATCTGTGTGCTATGTATGTGGCTACATCTGGGAGACCTAGTTAGGTGCTCAGAGAGTGGCTCCTTGCATTCTTTTTATTGCTGTGATAAAGATCACGACCAAGGCAATTTATGAACAAAGTGCTCAGTGGAGCTTATGGATCCAGAGGGTTAGGGCTCATGACAGCGGAGTGGAGGCATGGGACCAGCAACAGCTGAGAACTCACAAGTTTGTTTTTTATTTGCTTTTTCTCATTTTTGAGATTATAATTACAACATTTATCCAAACCGTCCCATATACCCTTCCCTATTCTTCAAATTCATGGCTTCTTATTTCATTGTTCTTGCCTGCAAGTGCATGCATGCGTGTGCGTGTGCACACACACCCTCCTGGATATAACCTGCTCCATCCTTACAATGTTTCTTGTATATATGTCTTCAGGGCTTTGCCATGGGCCATGCCAGGGAAGCAGCAAGTTGCAGTTGAAGTCCCAGGTATCAGCCATCTGAAGAGAATCCTCTGATGGGTCAATCTCATTTAGGCAAGGCCATGGGACTACAGACCCCGGAGTGTCTTTTGCTTCTGCTGTGCATTTACATGTTTGCTGTGGCTCTCTTTCTCTGGTATCTAGCAAGGTGTGAGTGAACCTTGGGAGATCTCCACTGCCTGTAATATAGTGAGTTTATCTCTTGGAAATATCCTGTTCTACTAGGCATTTTTACCTGTAGAGTGTCAAAAAGATGACCCCTCCCTAAGCTGTAATTTGATAATAATAATGATGATAATTTATACAGAGTTTTGATGAACAAAAATAAACATGAGGACATGTTTCCCAGCCAGGGCCTGTGAGTCTCACCTAAGGAGCTGCATGGATTGTAGCTCAAGTTCATGACTAACAGTGGAGACCCAGTAGCCCAGCTAGCTTAAATTCTTTTAACCTTGATATCAGGAGATGCAGTCACAGGTCTCAGAGTGCATCACAGCTGAAACAAAGCTTTGAAAATAACAAAGTTAGACTAAGATGGTTTTGTTAAAAAACTTTGAGGTGAAAACCCAAGAAGACAAGCTAAAGTTTTAAAAAGACACATAGTTGAGTGAGGAACTCTTTAAGGTCAGGGAACAAGAACAAGGCGACCCAGTTATTACTGGCTGACATACTCTCCTTGCTAGGTTTGGTTGATGACCAAAGGTGATTATTAATTCCTTATACCCATTTCTGCCTTCAATCCCCTGATATAAAAAAATATATTAATGAGTGGGTATGCACCCTAAAGATTTAAAGTAGAGCTGACTGATTCTTTTTTCTACATAAAAGATTGGGTTTGGGATTCCTTTATGATTCCTTATAAGATTACCTTTCAAGATAAGTAATAAGGTAATTGGCCTTTTCTTTCTTTGTAACTGCAAAATGAAGCCTGCCAGTAAAAGACCTGACAAGAACACCTCGCTTGCCCAAATGGTTAATCAGTAACAAGTTGCTTGGGTATGAAAGCATGTGGGTTCTTGGGATAATTAGTTTTTCACCTGTAATACATAAAATGTTTAAACATGTAAGGGAGATTAAAAACATGTTTTCACCTATAATCATTCACTTGAGAAATGGAATGCAACCATTTTGACTCTTGTGCTGCCTGGAAGATTCTCTTGGGGGGAAAAAAAGCTGTAAAACAACATGAGCTAGTGAGAGAAAAAAAAAGAATAAAGAAAAAAAAACATTGAGAGTTTGTGAGTGCCTTGTTCCTTAACCCCCCTCAGATGGAAAAGATTAATTTCGTGGACTCCATGGATTCCAGTCAGGATAATTAAGAAGACCGCCAGGGAAAGAGGCGACTCTTCTCCGGGGCTTGTCCAGAGTGTACCGGTCCTGGGGATTGTCCAGAAAGCAGAGGCAATCCTCTACTGGTCACCACAGACAGGAACTCACGGAGCTGCAGTCCACTGACCAGTGATTCAGGAAGAGGGATCATAGTTCCTTAGTTTCCCTGACTTTTTTTTTTCTTTGTGTTTGTCTTTCCCTCTGAATGGGTCAAGCAAGATCTTTTTTTTTTTTTTTACTATGATTCAAAGACATGAGTTTATGGCCTTTTCTATAATACGGATTTCAGTACAGACTACATTGGCATTGGTTACTCAGAAAAAAATTAATCAATGATTAATAGAGTGAGTGCTCCAGAGAAAGTCATTTTGAGAACTCTCAGCTTTGCTCTGTACCCCATTTTTAAACTAGGTAGTTTTCTTGATGCCAAGGTTTTTTGTTTGTTTTGTTTTGTTTATTTATTTATGTATCTTAGACGTTAGTCTCTATCAGATACGTAATTGGTAGAGACCCCCTCCGTTCTTTAACCTGTCACTGTATGTGAATGATGGTGTCCTTTGTCATACATAAGCTTTCAGTTTCATGAGATCCCATGTATTTATTGTAGATCGTAGTGCTTCTGCTATCAGTGTTCTGTTCAGGAAGTCTTTTCCTATGCCCACGAGTTAAAGGCTGTTTAGCTTTCTCTCCTACCAGATTCATGTGTCTGGCCTATGTTGAGGTTCTTGATCCATTTGGAATTTTGTGCTATTCAGTTTGATCAGCACCATTTGTTGAAGATGCTCTCTTTCTTTCCCCCAGTGCGTATTTTTGGCTTTTTATTTTTTTTGTCAAAACTCAGGTGAGTGGACTTATGTCTGGTTCCTTGATTCAATTCCATTAATCAACATATCTGATTTAATGTAAATACCATGCTATTTTTATTGCTATATGTCTGTAATGCAACTTGAAATCTGAGGTGGTGAGACCTCCAGCAGTTCTTTTATTATTCAGGATTGTTTTAGCAGCCCTGCTTCTGTATGTGTGAGTATTTTCATATGAATCTGAAAATTATGTTTTTCCGTTTCTGTGAAGAACTGTGTTGCAATTTTGATGAGGATTGTGTTGAATCTATAGGTTGTTTTTGGTAGGATGGCCATTTTCATTATAATAATTTTACTGATCCATGAGCATGGGAGATATTTTTAATCTTCTGGTGTCTTCTTAAATTTCTTCAATGTCTTTAAGTTTTTATTATACAAGTCTTTCACTTACATGGTTAGAATTGCCCCCAAGATATTTTTGAGGCTATTATTAAAGGTACTGTTTCCAATTTCTTTCTCAGTCCATTTATCACTTGTATATAGGAAGGTGAACCAGCTAGCCTGTTGTCAACCTGACACACAGACTAAACTTATCTGAAAGGAAGGAACCTTAATTGAGAAAAATGCCTCCATAAGATCAGCTGCAAAGCATTTTCTTAATTAGTGATTGATGGGGGAAGGCCAAGCCCACAGTGGGTGATGCCATCCATGGGGAGGTAGTCCTGAGTTCTTTAAGAAAACACGCTGAGAAAGCCAAGAGGAGCAAGCCAGGAAGCAGCATTCATCCATGGCCTCTGAATCATCTCCTGCCTCCAGGATCCTGCCCTGCTTGAGTTCCTGTCCTGGGTTCCTTCGGTGATGAACAACAATGTGGAAGTGTAAGCCAAATAAACCCTTTCCTCCCCAACTTACTTTATGGTCATGGTGTTTCAATGAAGCAACAGAAACCCTAAAACAGAAGGCTACTGATTTTTATTCATGCTAATTTTGTATCCAGCCACTTCGGTGAAAGTGTTTATCAGCTGTAGAAATGTCCTGGTGAAATTTCTAGGTTCTTTTACATATAAAGCCATATTACCTGTAAGTAAAGATGCTTTAACTTCTTCCTTTCCAATTTGTAGCCCCTTGATCTCCATCAGTTGTCTTACTGCTCTAGCTAAGACTTCAAGTACTAGATTGGATAGGTATGGAGGAGGGAAGAACCTTGCTTTGTTCCTAATTTTAGTAGAAACACTTTGAGTTTCTCTCCATTTATGTTTATGTTGATTATGGGATTGCTTTGAATTGTCTTATTATGTTGAGACATGCCCACCGTATCTCTAGTCTCTCCAGGACTTTTATTATGAAGGGGTATTGGATTTTGTCAAAGACCTTCTCTGCATCTAACGGGATGAACATGCATGTAGTTTTTGTCTTTCAGTCTGTTCATATGGTAGTGTATTTTGGTAATATTTGGGATCTTAGCTGTCACAGTAGAATTGAAAATTTACATATAGGAACAGAATGAATAACTTGGGAGCTTCATTGTTAAGCATTCACTCTTAAAAATTATCTTCAAGCTATAAACAGAGACAGATAAAAGAGAAAGCCTCTTAGCTCACCATGTATTACAACCTACTTTATATTAATCAGAGGGCTTTTCATGGATAGTAACTCTGCTAAAGCTATTCTACAAGTGATCACTGTGGATTTGTGTGTGTGCACGCACACACATGTGCGCATGCCTGTGTGCATGTGTATATGTTTGTGTGTGTGTGTGTGTGTGTCTAAGTTGACAGCCATAGTCCTTACAAGTTCTCCCTACGGGTCACGGGTGTGGGGAGGATGCAGGCCAGTGCTGAGATGGAAAGTTCTGTGGGACGAGATGTGCTGGAGGTCAGGTAAAGGTCAAAGAAGCAAAAGATATCTGCATAAAATCCACTAGTAACAATAATATAACAGTTAAGTGACTGGCAGCGGTAATCTGGGAGTCAGCACTCAAGGAAGCAGCGGCTTCTTGTGCCACCTACGAGCCCGCGCCACACTCTTCGCGTTGGGGAAACAGTTATAAATGGTCCCGAGTCACACACCCAGCAAATGGAAAGGCTGGAAACTAAACTCTTTCCTTTACCACACACGATGACTTTTATCCAGTTTTCTCCCCACAAATACACACCAGAGGGAGAAAGTAAAGCAACTCTTGGGGATCCCTTTACACTGGACTGAGCTCATAAGATCAGTCAGACTGTATGCAAATGGCAAATATCAGGCAGTTTTAAAGGGAGCCTAAGTTACTGTATTTGGTTGTCTTTCCCACTTGAATAATGACTGCTATCATTAGCCTATGCTTTATTGGCATGGTTTTCAGGAACTACCAACACTTACAAACGAGTTTCTTATCAGTTTAATGTTACGGAGTCACCATCTCATACCACCCTGGTGCTTGTTTTAACTAAGGAAATGTGCAGGCAGCTGTACCTCCCCAGCTTGTCAGCTGCATCTCTGTTTCCCTTTTCCTTCGCTGGCGATTGTGCCATCCTTTCCTCATCCTGGGTGGAGTGTGCACAGGATAAGCAGTCTTCCTGATAAAAAAGCAAGAGAAAAGGCCAAGAACTCAACAAATTACATATTTCTCAACTGCACTGGCATCTTATGAATGGACCTGTGACCAGAGCATGGGCACAGGGTAAACAATGGTCCCTCCTCCCTCCAGATGCTGCCCCTTACTGGCCACCATCATCACACAGGCTTCTCCTTCCATGCCTCCCCTTTTCTGGAACCTTTGCATCCATCGCTTTTGTCACATTTATCATGACACTTGTTTCCATTTGCAATAGGTGCTTGGTGAGCTGGGGCTCTTTGATTCCATAGGCTGAAACTCTAGGATTTAGATGGACTGTTTATTGAAGTCATAAGCCGGCTTTTCACTGCTAGAGCCGGCTTCTTCAATTCCTGTCCCAAAATGTTTGAGAACATTACAAAACTGTGCATTGTGCAGGGAAGAAACTATTTTAAGTTCATATCTAGTCGACAGGAAAGCAACTGGCAAGCCTCGGTGGCAGCTTCTTCCTCCTTGGTTCTGTTGACAAGGCTATCTCTACATGGTCACTACACCTGTTCCACAAGGGCGGCCACTCCCTTGCCTGCTGTGGCTTGCTGCAGTTGGTAACACACTGGCCCTGGTGGTAGCCTGCTCTCCTTCTGAATGAGACAACCACATTGGTCAATGTGCTTCAACAGGCTATTAGAGGAACCAGCTGATAGATGCTCCGGGCTTCCTGCAGTTCTATGGTCCAAACCACCTACCATTCTCACTCACATCTCAAGACTCCCTGTCTCTTCTACCCCATGTTTTGTGGCAACTGTCTAGAGGTAAGGAAGCCAAGCTTCAGGAACACACAGTGAAGATCTTTCCAATGATATTAACATTCCCTCAAGGTTATGGAAAATACTCATTTAATTCAATTGTATTTAAGGTGTCAGGACCCCTGGTGCCAATTCCTGGCACCCACACTCCTAGTGGGACACTGGGGAAATTTACCTGTTTGTTTGTTAATGTTGTAATGTGTCTACATGGTTTAAATTTACATGAATTTCTTCTTATGAAAGTCTAGACATTTGCCTTTTAGTAACATCTTACCTTTGTTACTATACTGCTAATAGTTCTTTTCTTATACATTAACCTTTTTGTAATCACCACATAATAAAAACATCCATTTTATTGCTAAAAAGAAGTAATTCTGCAAGCCAGTGAAAGTTATCTATAACTACCTGAAAACTATGACATTTCTAATGAAACACAAATTAGAAAAAAAAGGCAGTACCTCCTCACTCCACTTGGACAAAAAAATGGCAATCAGAATTTCTGGACAATAATGTACAGTGTGCAAAGATGTACTGGATGAATGGAAGGCACCATTTCTAAAGTTTAAGAAATACCTAGATTCCCAGCCTAAGGTCGGAGTTGAAGGACACTAAGATGCTCTTTAGCCTTCTTTCCTATTTACAACGTTTTCTTGCTTTGTTATGTATTATTTATGATGTAGTACCTCCAAACAAATCATCCAAAATTACATGCTTTAACATTAAAAAGGATGATCAACTTAAGGAATTTTTTTTAAAGTCTAAAGCCATTCATGTTTCTCTGGTGAAGCTCCTCATTTCTGAATCCAGGATTCCTTATTTCTACTTGTGTAGAAATGTGTTGATGGCAATCCCTGAAGCTAAAGGCATTGTTACTGTTAGCGCCAGCTTGGGAATTGCACTAGACATGGCCTAAGGATAAGTTAATACGTCTGGAATCTCTCCTAAATTATGGGATATTGACAAACACATTGATGAAGATAAAGAAATGGCTCTGATATCTCTGCAAGAATTAGTTATAATCATTCTAATCCAGAAGCAGCGAGGGAATGGGCCACCCAAGAATGCAGGCTATCTGAAAATGGCAAGGGGAATCAAGAGAACACAAGATCCCGCTGCCTTAGGGAGACCAAAGGAGGCATTCATGATTCATGTTACCTGAGAACTTTAACAATTCCTCTCACTAATAACTTGGGGAGGACTAAAATCTGCAGCCCCCCACAAACCTCACAAGCCTGCCACTCAGTCTCTACTATAGCACCCACACTTGCTTCAGCCACTGCGGAGAGCACAATTAGATTTTACTCAGAAGCATCCATGCCAAGAATATCGTATCTGCTGACACCTTAAGGGTACACCGTAGCCTGCTCTCCCCAGACTGGAAGAAATCAAGTTAGTGTAGCCTTATTCTAGAACGAAGTCTGTCCCCTCTGAGTCTCCAGAGCCTCAAGAACCACCTAAGGCCAATGCCAGTTACCAGCAAAACATGATAAGGATACAAAGTCGAAACAAGAAAGGATCTCAAGTGCAAAGTCAAGTCTGGCTATACCTCTATCCACAGTTATGACCTCACAGAGGTTAAACTGTTCACTGTGGGTATAATCAGATGCAATGATTACAACTTCACCGTAGTTTTCTTTTAATTTGTTCTGATGCTAGATTACTTCTTGAAATTTTTGTTGGCTTAGCCATACTGTTAAGATATAAGCATCAATATTTATTTTCACAAATCAAGGGTCTCAATCCAGAAAGCCCTTGAAATATTAAGAGAAGTACTTAAGACAGCTTGTGCCATTATTAGAAGGCTCTGCACACATTCCTAACAACTTGGGCAATACGTTCTCGGTCCTCTTTGATTTACACATCCAAACTGATCTTAGGCCCAGGCACAGCATACTTTGACATCCTGAATAAGAACAGCCTCCCTCCAGATTCACAACCTTCATGGGGCTCTATTCCATTAACACGATCAAGATTTTTGAGTCCCTGGGTAGTCAGAGCCTGCATCCCTGCTCAGCAACAAAGAAGCTTCATATGCAGTTCTTTTCTTTGTTTGGTTTGGTTTTTCGAGACAAGGTTTCTCTGTAGCTTTGGAATCTGTTCTGGAACTAGCTCTTGTAGACCAGGCTGGCCTCAAACTCACAGAGATCTGCCTGCCTCTGCCTTCCAAGCGCTGGGATTAAAGGCCACCACCACCTGGCACATATACAGTTTCTTACAATCAAGGGAGAAAAGCCTCAGATAAAAAGGTACTAAAGGGGAAATTGAGGCAGGATACAAAGACAGGGAAATTAATGAAGTAAGCAAAGGGAAAGGAAGCCCTGGTATGGACTCTCACGGAATGGCAGTCAGGTGACCCAGGCCTCCCAAAACAATCAAATCAGTGTGAGGATTGTTTTTGGAGAGACAGGGTTTTGTACAGACACTTCAAATAATACTGTTCACATAACAATGAACCAAGCTTAGACCCAAACAAATGTGAGCTTCCAGTTTACCCTTCCGTGTCCCAGCTGTTATCCTGCAGCTCTGAGAATCTCACAGTTTCATGAACTTCACTTATAGTCAAAGTGTATTTCTCAACTCCCTGTGACCTGTACAACAGGCATTCCTTTGACCTTGTGACTTAGAGTGTTTTCAGATCAGCCTCCAATCTGCCCAGTTCACAGCCAGGAGCTATTCACTTAAGATTCACATAAGATCTCATTTACAAAAGATGGGGAAAGTATTCCATACCAACTGAAGGCGTAAGTCACAAACAATCCCACATCGGTTTGGAATTATGATTAATAGAATGGTTATTTATTCAAAGGGGAAAAAACTTACAGATTACCGTCCCAAACAACAGCCCCTCTGCACGATCAGGAAAAGGAGTCTAGGAGCCGAAAGCAGAGCTGGAAGCCAGAGAGAATAGAGGACAGCACTGCTTTTTTAAAAGAGAGAGAGAGACCACGCCCCAGTGGGCTGGTATCTAAGCGGCTATTGGCTGAAGGAGAGGAAGGAGCTCCCGCAGCATCTCCCCCTTTTAAGTAAGAGAGTTCTAAGCCTACTACGAAATTATATACAATAAGTACAAACCTATGAAATTATATACAATAAATACAAATATCCTATTCTAACTAGCTTAAGTCTTGTATAATAAATAACTTGGCCAAGTCATGAGAGGAAAGTAACTATATTTATATAATCTTCAACCCCATCTAAGATCTGAGAAGGGAAATAATGTTACCTGAGTAATTAGGAAGTGCAATTAAACAACTTCCAGAACATGCAACAAATCACAGAGACAACTGGCTACCTGGGCAAACACCCAAAGTCACGTTCACAGCATTGAAGCAACCAACTTAGGCTAAGGCCTAACGTAACTGACATACCATTTTCTAAGGCAAGAAACTTTTCAAAACTATCTGACCCTGTCTTGGCAGGATATGACAGTCTTGTTTTATCCATTTATGGATACTCTGTAACTCTGTCAGTAGTTGAGGTACGGGCATTTCTTTACCCAAAGGCCAGTTCTGCCAAGAAGAAAGGCTCCACGTGGAGTGTCTTTGGTGCTCAACATTCTCTCGGGAATAGATCGGTGTTGCCAGGAGTGATTGTGTCTCCCTACCACAGAACTCTGAGTTAGATTAAAGGCCATTTTCTACAGCTCTTTGAAGAGGTTGAAGATTATCTATACTGAATATAATCTCTATGTATCTAAAGAACCTGATTAGTCTAATTATAAATGACAAACTTAGATGACTATTGATCTATATAATTCTCAATACCTATTTAACTTAAAGACTAAGACAATGAACAACTTGCAATAAATGAGGACAATATGACCTGCAAATATAAACAATGTACAAGTATACATTGCAATATGGTAAATATATATATCAATACATAAACAATATATAAGTATCTTAATCTGAGGTAGAAGTGTACAATGCAATATAGTAAATATACATATATCGATGCAATATATATATCAATGCATAAAAATGTTTTAAATAGGTAGAAGCATGCATGCATACAATAGTCAACATAATTTAACTTTGTATCAATATATAAGAATCGATACCAATATATTTGTCTAAAAACAATAACTCACAAGTACAAATCTATTATCCCATCATCCAATTATCCCTCTTTTTTTTTTAAATTGCTGTGCTTATAAAATTCCTCCCCTAACCCTCAACCGTATACTAATTATAACCAACCCCTAAATGATGTCCCT